GCCTAGCTTCATATAAAATCGTTAGGATTTTAAAAGAAGTTGGAATACAAGTTTACCATTCTAGCAATAACAAATTGTTTCGCGCTCTTTACACACACAAGGATGGCGTCGATGAACAACAGAAACCTGGTGTGTACCGCATTCCATGTGAATGTGGTTTGGTTTACATTGGAGAGACCGGTAGAAATCTCTCAATACGTCTTAAAGAACATAAGACGAACTGCGAGAAAGGTAAACTGGATAAGTCTGCAGTAGCTCACCATGCATGGACTTATGATCATCGCATTAAATGGAACGATGCTACCATTTTAGCAAACGATAAGTTTACTGTCTCTCGTAAAATGAGAGAATCTATTGAAATTTATAAACATCAAACTATCGTCCAAGAGGGAAAGCCACTTAATAGTACGTGGCGTGCTCTTTTCGGTGTCTCTTAGTCAAATACTTGTCTAGGGCGCGCGCATTAATTAGAACTTAATTAAATGAAACCGTTTAATTAATAGCGCGAGCAAACTAATCACGACTAACATGATATTTAAGTGACGCGCAAACGTGTATTCAAGTAATTGCACTGATGAAGGTCCGGGTTAACGGACCGAAAGCTTTGCAGTATTTAATACTTACGTGGTGTACCTACAAGTTATTATAATTACTAAAGTCGCCATGCAATCATACAAGAAAATTATATCATTTTAGCCTAATCGAATGCTTTTTTGCGCTTCATGTTCTGGTTTATGGTTAGAGTGCTCTTATTTCATTTGCGACAAATTTCACGTTATAAGCTTTCTTTTGAAAATTTATCGTTTTTGTGCTTCGGTAATGCACTGAATGGTTAGAATTTGTGTTTTAATATACTTCTGTAGCTTCCATAAAGCCAAAGTTCACCGCGCGCACAAACAGCGTCGCAAGCCATATATTACAGCATTACGAGCCATAATATGCCTTGGCAAGGTGCTAATTAAGTTGCATAATTGTCGGAAGTCTGTAATGTATGTAAAAAGACAAAACCAGATTTTAAAATCAGTAAATTGAGGGATTTTGCGTGTTACATATTATCGCACTTGTAAATTTATTTACAAAGTGCGATAAATTTAAGCTAATTTATTTACATCTGATAATCTGATAGCAGGGCCTCCGTCCGAAGCAGCTACTGATTAAAATGTATTCAAAATAAAGGACCGCATCCTAGGACGAGAATGCGGTTCAGCATTTCAGCTCGTTGTCTTTAATGCAGTCTGACATGCAAATTATATACAACAATTGAAATACCCTAGCTAATATTTGAAGACATAAATACAGTGACCTAACGCGCGTTCGGTAGGGTTAGGACGAGAACTAAAATAAGGTTCCCCAGTTATTGGGGGCCAGAATAGATAACGAAACATCATAGTATATGAGCAAAACGTGATCAATGACAAACAGCGAATTAAGGGACCCGGCAGTACCAAGTATATCTCAAGACCCCATCCTCTGTTCGTTATGCCACTGCATGAATATCCAAGCAATTTAAATATGACGCGTGCATCTAGTCTAAAACTGGAGCAGTGCCCCGCTTGCAAAATTGTCTTATTTCCTTAAAAGGGTATATTTGTCTCACCAGATCTAAGCCATCTGGCTCGATTGTTGCTGGCATGTTGAAAGGTATCAATTGGCATAAATATAACTTATGGCATAAATATAACTCATGCATTGTAAATGTTTATTTAGACTCTTAATTCACAAAAAAATTACTTCATACACAGCAAAAAGTCATTTTCCTATCGAGAAAAAATATCATATTTTGAGAATTTTTTTCTTATGAAAAGAAAAATTTTCTTATCGTAAGAATTTTTTTTCTAATTCCAGAATATAAAATCTTATTTAGAAAGTGATTTCTCAAAATAAGAAAATGTCCTGCCCACAAATTTACAGATTTGACACAAGAAATTATTTTTCTTATATTTGGAAAAAATTTTCTTAAACTGAGTAAATAATTTCTTGATAAGAGAAAATTTATATCAACTTATGGAATTCTCAATATGAGAAAATAAATCTTGAGAACAAAGACTTCAAAATCCCAAATATTTCTTGTTCCAAGAAAATATTTTCTTGAAATTCTATATTTGGAAAAATTTTTCTTAAACTGAGTAAATAATTTCTTGATAAGAGAAAATTTATATCAACTTCTAGAATTCTCAATATGAGAAAATAAATCTTGAGAACAAAGACTTCAAAATCCCAAATATTTCTTGTTTCAAGTAAATATTTTCTTGAAATTCTCAATGAGAAAATTTTTTCTAGAGCACAAGAATAGGAAAGCTATATATAGTCTGATCCCTCTTTCAAAAAAGCATTTTTGGAATATATGATATAAGAAAACAGGAGTTAAATTGGGTATAGTGAAAAATCACTATACAACAAAATTTTTATTATTCACAATGAACAAATATGTCTGTCCCCCTTATAATGAAATTATATCTAGGTAAGTCCTATATGTACAATCAATTTTTGCAGTATAGCAGGTATTTGGTAACAAATTTCATCAGATTTCATCAAACAATTTTCATCACTTTTTGCCTCTGATTATTCAACTAAAACCTACTATACAATACAATATTACAATGCAAAAGTCAGAGTTTGATATTTTGAACAGGACAGAAAATCTATATTTATCCCTAATGTTTGGATTGCAAGTCTATATTTAAGGTATGAATATTCAAATACATACACAATACTATAGTGCAAGTACATACATACATGCATTGTTTGTTTAAGTCCACATCAACAAAACTCAATGGAATTTTAATGGATTGCAACCCTTGACATGTTGGGTAAGCAAATCATTAATGTCATACTTGACAGAAATGTACCAATTCTTCAAATGGTCTTTATGAATGTGAAACACATTATTATTATTATTATTATTATTATTATTATTATTATTATTATTATTATTATTATTATTATTATTATTATTATTAAAAAATACACATAAAGTAGCTTAGACAGCTAAATTACAATGTGATTTACAGGTTCATAAAAATAATTTAAGAAATATTACATTTTAGAATTACAATAATTCATACTCTAATCTATATTACAAAGCTAGAAGTAAATTACAAAAGCTATATTTTAAATATTAAGAAACTAATAAAATAGTTAAGAATCATCAATTTTGAGATTGTACTTACGAATAGCATATACTAGAGGACTATTTCTAAAGCGCTCTGTTCTGCATTTAAAATTGTAAATTTTATTTACATTAAGTCTCGTGTCTCTCTCCCGTAATTGACCTACAGTTGGTGGTAGCAAATCATTGAGTTTATGTGAAGGGTCCTTTATATCCTTTATCAAGTTTATGCACATTAACTCTCTTCGACTTTCCAAAGTTTTAATACCACATTCAGTTAATGCTTGTTCATAATCTTTTCCGGGCATATAATTTTCATTGCACGCTTTTGAATTCTCTCTATATCCCTAGATTGTTCCTCTGTCAAACTCCCATGCCAAATTTGAGCTCCATATTCTACGATTGATCGAATTGCCGAAGTATAAATAGTTTTCAAGTCATCTCGCGGAGCATTATATCCTTTTAAATTTTTTAAAAGATATAATCGTTTAGCTGCCTTTTTGACAATGTATTCCGTATTTGTTCTCCATTTTAGATCATCGTCTAACCACAATCCAAGTAATTTATAAGAGCTTATTCTTTCTAGGATGCATTCATCGACTTCTGTTGCAGGAATAGCTGTTCTATCCTTTCGAAAGTCGATAATCATCTCTTTGCACTTTTTTGGGTTTAACTCCATTCTCTCAATTTCCGCAAAATTCTTTACCGAATTAATTTTTTGGGGTATATTACCAATTTCCGTGCCAGAGATATGATTGTGAACATCCAGTGCCTCACTAATCGTTGTATCGTCCATGAAGAGAATCGTATCTTCATCCACAACGACATCATTATTTCCATTTCCTACAACAGCTTCTGCTATAACACTAGGTAACATATTAATTTTAACCACAAAAGCAATAGGTCCCAGCTTACTGCCTTGCGGAACGCCTCCCATAACATTCGCAAAATCAGATACTTCGTTTCCAAACTATGTAAAATGAGATCTCTGGTCCAGGTACGATGCATACCATTTGATCAGAGCAGGTCTTACACCAATTTCTCGCATGTTTTCTAAGAGTTTATTATGATCGATAAGGTCAAATGCCTTTCGGAAATCCAAAAAGACTATTCTTATCACTCTGTGCAGTTCATCCAATGATTTATGCCACTTGTGTATTAAATTAACCAGCGCATTAATTGTCGATGATCGTGGTAGACCCCCATATTGAGAATCAGAAATTTTTTCATCGGTATCTTCATATATCCACTGAACAGCAAAAGATTCTTGAACCTTTGCTAGGACACTAGTTAAAGCAATTGGTCTTAACTCTTCAACATGCGTACATGGTACAGATTTAGGGATTCCAGATACCTTGTATTTTTTCAAGATCTCAGGAAAAATTTTTGATTGAAAAGATTCATTGAAGATTTCGGTCAAAGGTACAGCAAAATATTTTGTAAAAATCTTCAAGATCTTCAGAGAGGGATCATAAGGACCAGGAGCTTTATTAAGGTTAATTTTACGCAATTCTCGTTGTACCTGGTCGACAGTAATTAGAGGTAGATTCTCTATACATTGAAATTCCAACCAATTTTCGTTCACTTTCGGATAATTCTTAGTTAAGTTTGCAAAATAATCGTTTATATAATGAGCAGACTGCTTATCATCCATCTGAAACCCAGTATTGGGATCCAACATTATTGGTTTAGCAGTTTTCTTGCCGATCAAGCCCTTCATTTGTTTCCACCAAGATTTAGGGTTGTTTTAAAGTTTGGACTTACTTTATTCTCGTAGAAATCAATTTTCGCTTTCCGAATTTCTGCCGAGACTTGTCTTCTGAGACTTTTCACACGCTCAACTTTTTTATTTTTAAAAGCCATATTCCTTTTAAGAATCAACGATTTTTTTTAGCTGTCATAAAAGGTTTATCCTTACTATAAACTTTAACCGTTTTTTCCGGAAAATATTCAGAAATCATATTCTCAGTGACCTGAAGAAAGGTATTGACTTTTTCATTATGTCGGAGGTGTAAAGAACCGAAGACCAGTTATAACTTGCTAGTAGAGATTCGAAATTCTCTAACTGCTGCTGTCGGATTTTTCTCACTTTGATTTTAATCGTAGTTCCTTTCTCCGTAATATGAGACTTGGACTTCCAGCTGATGATATTATGATCCGACGTTGACAGTGGGGCTAGGATTTCCGGAGTTTCGTAACAGTCAGCCATGTCAGTGAATATTAAATCAAGGATGTTTCTGTTTCTGGTAGGTTGCGTTACAATTTGTTTAAGATGACAATGCCTCTTTAAACGGTTTTGTTGGAACCCATTACTATCTGGATTGAAATCGCCTCCTAGAATAATTGCCGTATGTGGGCTTTCTAGACAAAGCTTGTCATAACAGTTGTTGATATAATCATAGAAATTGTCAATTTCAGATACATTTAGGTTTGGTGGAAGGTATGCGCATCCTACTGCAATCCTTGAAATTGATCTTGGTAACCACTTTGGGCGGATAGTAATCCATAAGCATTCAAACAGTTGATCGTTTAAATCATCACGCGTTTTAGTGGTATACTTTCATTGACATATTGCTACCCCTCACCTCTACCACACAATCGATCTTTTCTGATAATGTTCAGACCAGAAACATTCACAACCTCATCAGGGATTACATCTCTTAACCATGTTTCTGTCACAAGAATTAAGTCAGCAATATACTTATCTCTAAGGATTTCAAGTTCATTTACCTTATTGACTAATGATCTTGCATTCAGCATCATAATATTAGGGACAGCTCTATTATTATCCAGGGGGCGTTGTGCTTTTTCAGGGTGGATTCTGATACAGTTATTACGCAATGCGTTCTGACATTGTTATTGGTGAACTTTGTCTCTGTTCTGTTATTCTAACAGGAATACTTTGTGTGTTATTTACCTCAGTACTGTCCGACAATGTCACAGGAACAAAGTTTCCTGTATTACGCTTTGATAAACGTGAGCGATATTTACGTTGGGTTATCACAACGGGAATATTATTGAATCTGATTGGAATGTGAGCCATTAGACGTATGTTGAAAAATTCCCATGATGGGTGGTGTTAAATTTGATTTCACGTCTAATGGAATTTCTAGTGCTTTTCGATTGCCACAGATTACATTTGACAAATCTTGGCCAGAAACCTTCCAATTGAACTTCAGACCACATTGAAGATGGTATGTGGATTTTGGCAGATTGGGTTCCTCTTCGTTGACTTCGAAACAGAGCAATGTGAGTAGGTATTATATTTCGTTGCTCTAAATAGGATAAGATCTGATTCTCTTGCACGCTCTCGTGTATTCCAGACAGGAAAAGTTTCTTTACTCTTTTCCGCCTTCTGTCAACCCCAATAAAGCCATCACCTTCAGTATTTCTTTGTAATGGGACACTTAGTAAAGTATCTTCAGGGTTATTAACCATATTTGGTTTTTCCTTAGGTTTACGGGGTTTTAGATGCCTTTTAACCACTTGGGCATAGGATTCTCGACGCGCCACAACACAGCCAACTTCTCTATCAGTAAGAGTCTCGTCAGATTCATCCGACTGACTAGTGAATCCTGCTTCATTGCTTCCTATAGAATTTTTTAATTGATCTGACACTAAGGTGTCATTAGCGTCAGTTTCAATACAGTCTTGGGCAATAACTTGATTTACATTTTCTCTTTCTTCGTTATGGTTAATCGACTTTGTCAAGACCCCTCTGTAAGGCTTGTTTCATTCTTCCTGATGAAATCTTGAAATTCTGAAATTACTGAAGTTATGTGCAAGATAGAGTTCGACAATGATTGAATTGCCTCGCTATTCACTTGTTGATCTTGCTTCATACATTCTATATCAGTGTAGAAATCAGGCGATTCACCCGAATGAACTTTGCCCATGTCATGTACAGACACAGGTTCTGAGATGTCGTCTTCACACTCACATATATGCTTACATAATTCCTTCTTGAAGTTGTTAGCTTTCGATCCATTAAAGGACAACAAGTTCTTACTCTTTCTCCAGAGGATCGTCGAATCTTCGGTTGTGAAAAGCTTTCTATCCCCGCCGGGTTGAGACCAAACACCATCAAGTTTGAAGTTTCATAAACAAACCTTTTCAACGATTCATAGTCCCCGTTCCAAGCTAAACTTAGCTTGTTTGTTATCGCCATAGCATAAATCAAATAACTTATAACTCTTGTACCAGTTTGGAGCTTATTAGACAGCTTATTAAGTTGAATATGTTGAAATCTTATAAAGAAATTTATCGGAGCTAAATTTTCACGTCCGCCATGTTCATTCGTCCACAATATCAAAAGACATTAAGACATTATAGTCTAACCAGGTTCTCTAAAGACATTATAGTCAACCAGGTTCTCATAAGGGCAGAAAACAATTTGTGTACTTGTTTTGTTTTCCTCAATACCGTATGCTTGGTAATGTTCACTAAATCCAGTAGTTTCCAAGGTTGAACATTCAAAATAGACAAAATCACTTACAATCCAGATATCCAATATTGTAGCAAAGAGGGGTGACCTTGTTGTTTCATTAACACTGTACATGATTACAGCATTCTTTCTAAACTTTGTTCCATGGCAAAGAACCCAACTGCTTTTAAATGCATTGTCTATCACAATCCCAGGTAACATACCAAAATCATCGAGTTTCAATCGCAATGATTTTTTACCAAACTCATTTAGTGGGGTCAGTACGCCATATTGCCTTTCATTAGAAAATAGTGGATGAGATTGCGGGTTGTTGGAATCAGCAAAGTTGCTGCACTCGTTCATTTGACATCTTTCTGCGAGGGACTTTGTAAGGTTTTTAAAATTCTGCTTCCGTGCAGTCTCCTTAAAAAAGTTATGAGCTGACTCAAATGCGAAACACGAATGTCTTATCAAAGGGCCAAGTTGTTTTATCATTGATGGCATGTGTATCAGGTAATGTTGCTTCGGGATGATGTTAGTAGATGGAAAGCAATCTTTAAATCTTGTGAGGTGTTCTGCGATTAAGTCCTTCAACTGATTCACAGTGTTAATACTTATAACAGGAGAGAATAGAATTTGAACAATTGAGATCAGTTCAGTAACCAAATGGTAAAATTTGTCATGTTCATTCACTAGACTGCTTAAGATAAAGGGAATCAGCCTTAAAAACAACCTTGCCTGAGCAGCGTTATACTTCAGTTTGTATCGTTCATCTCCTCGAAAAACAGATTCTTTCAATGGACCAGGTTTGTCTGATACTTCACTGTAACCATACTCTTGGTTAGCTATAGCTGCATTTAGCTGTGCTAATGTAAATGTATTGTTAGTAATGTAATGCAATAATATATGGCGTAGCTCATATTGGACAACACCTTCCAACAAAGTGTGCATGATATCTTGTGGGAGTTGAATGCTGATGTCAAAGTCTTGTAAATCACACAAGGAACTTCTGTGGTTAATACCATATGTTGTGGTCAGGTCATTTTTGACAACATCATTCGGTGCTGTCTCAATTTCTTGGCAATGTCTGTCATGCATTTCTTTATTCCTTACTGTGAAATCTTCTTCAAAAAATTTCTCCTGCATGGCTTCAAAATGGCATTGGCAATGATGACATTTGTGGAATGAAAATCCAACACCAACTTTAAAACCACCCCACTCATGCTGACCCTCAGTGTCCCCAGCACATGAAACAACCTTGCCAAAGACTTCCTTTTCTTTTCCACAAACTTGGAACAAGTGGCCACTTTCCAACTTCTTTATATCTGAAATAATTGGTTTCAGAATAGCATTGTAGCCATACTTCTTGACCAAATTCGACTTTACGATTGCCAACAGTCGAATAGCACACCGCTTTGACCGAATCTTTGGACTGAGGTTTCCCAATGTATAATAGAACATGTCGACCTTATGGGTTCCTGTATGACTACCGAGAGGATTACACACTTCTAATGCATCATGATAAATTATAATTATCAAAGCATCTTTGTGATCAACGAAAAGTCTATCATTCTTAAAGAATTCACCATCACATATATCATACAAGATTTCATCATTACATGTGTTAGGCTTTCTGAAGATAACTTTTGCAAGAGTCTTATTTGTGAAAAGTTGTTTCAAACTTTCAATGATGGGAATGTAAATAAAGGATTCTTCTTTCTCAACCAAGATGCGTTTGTTTCTCTTTGGAACTCGCTTAATTTGTTGTCCCAATAATTCCTCGCGATAGTTCACATAATTGAAATTTTGTTTTATGTATGATACCTGTTTGAAATAGGTGTCCAATCCATTAAATGGGCTTTTAACATCATTTAATAAGGTTTCAGTAATGATTTCTGAGAAGTACTTTTCTTCGGAATGATGATTTTTCCATGCATCAACCAACTTCTTTGCTGTTGTGTCCAAGAATGTTTGCAACAGACTTGAAGTGCCTTCTATTACATTTCCAAAGCAACCTTTAAGAGAATGATTGAGACAATGTTGCATGTTCCTAAAATATTTCAATTTATTTTATATATTTACTAGACGCGAGATGCAAGTCCTGTATCATCCTCACACTCCTGTTCAACTGAATCTACTAGAGATGATTTTTCAGAAAACTCGTTATGTTTTGAAGATGATGTGTTGAAAGTGTCGACCCCAAAACCTGTAAAATATCCTGAAGCTGAACCTTGTACTAAACGTGTCAAAGTAGAGCATCCAGAATATTCTGTCTATGTTGATTCAGAATTACGTGCTATAGCTAAATCGGGAAAAATGTCCACAGCATTGAAGCAGAGGCTAATTAGATCAACTATTGTCAACATGACGGCAGCAGCAGCATCTGAGCCATTTTGTCGTTATCCACTCACAGCAGAAATAGAGGAAATGGCTAAGTCACTCACTGTGGTCTATCGATGCCTTAGAGATCCTGAAACTGGTCATGTAAGTGCTACATTATATATTATTATTTAGTGTAAACTTTCCTTTCCAGCTTTTTACTTTAAATATATAGCTAGTAACCATGTTATTTCAATAAGGTTTTAGCTTAATTCTGATGAAAATTCTGTTAGTTCTTTGACCAAACTATTGGCAGATACTGTAATAGCTGGATGTTAACCATTGTGTTTGTAGAGGGATTTGTTTACCAAGTTAAAAAGAAAGCTGAGCAACAGCAAACCAACGAAAAAACCTCAAGGGCCGTGCCCAAACAGGAGCAGAAATAAGAAGAAACAAACCTTGGTGCATGAAACACTTGTAAAAGAAGTGCTGCCCAATCCTCCTGAGAAAGAAGAATGTTCAGAAATAGCCAAAGGAGATAGTGATGCATCGAATATTGAGGGTAGGTTTTTCTTGATCATATTAGTTGGGTGGTACACTATTCTAATTCATCTGTGACCTTGTATATTTGTAGTATGGAGTGTAATGGCTGTTTTATTATTTATATGATGTTTACATCAATCTGATGTGATGGGTTTTCAACCCATTCATTTGCAATATTCTATCACTGCATAAATTATGAGGAGCCCTGTAGATTATAAGTGCTATAGATGTTGATTCTTAGCATCTAATTTTTTGTGGTTTATAGATAATGAAGTTTTGGATGGTGTTATTGTTCATGACAACAATGAGATTCTCCAGAGACACTACAGATCGCTAGAGAAGGAAATGAAGAAAAAAAATCCTAATCCCACTGTTGTGAATATATATTTAAACAAAGAGTTTCAAGCTAGGAGAGACTGGTTGGAGAATATTGCTGCTGAGCACAGGTGTCAGCAGCTCTTGGCAATGTATCCATGTTTTGCTGATCATGTGGAGGTAGGTTTTATACACTGAATCCCTTAGACAATATTTAATGTTGTGTTATATGTCATAATGTATAATATTTATTTAATAATACATTCTTTAGATAATTGAGGAAGCTAGAAGAGTCCTGAACATTGAATGTCAAGCAAGGTGCCAGTTTGCAAATGATTCTGTAAAGCGGCTGTTGTCAGAAATTGATTTCGTAGTATTTTATGGCATCAGCAAAGGAATAAATCCTCCGCGAAGCCCAAGATTATGTAAGTGCACTTAGTTAATTTGTTATGTCTATTTGAGTTTGAAAGTTAGACATGTAAAATTCTCATAATTGAGTCACAATGATATCCGCAGCATAACCATCTCCCAAACTTCTAGTGGCTTGTCTTGATTAATTTTAACACATTTATGTTTTACACAGATGTGAAAGTGGTACATCTTCTGAAGAAGATCTCACAGATATTTCCTAGACAGAAGTCCTCGAAAAGGATCATCGAATTAATCCATGAACTGCAGGTAAATATTAATTATAATTGAGCAATATTGCATGTATAAATAAAGGTATTTTAATATATATATATATATATATATATATATATATATATATATATATATATATATATATATATATATATATATATACAAGTGACCTTTAGGCATATAGTGTGAACTTAAATAGTTATTACAAACATTCACTTGGTTTGTTCTATTAATAGGACAATGAAGATCCAAATGCGTTCTGCGAAAAGAGAATTGGAAATCTCCCAGTTATCTTGATTGATGAGGAAAGTATATATGTTATTGTTGGGAAACATATTTTATTCCAGACCGAAGTGGAAAATATAGCTGAGGCAGTTGTTGCTTTCTTAGCTTCTTTTTATTTATTGGATTTTGATTATCCGAAGCAACATGAGATAGGATTGGCGGTCCTGCAAGTTCTCATTTTCAAGGACATTCAAGTGCCACAGGACATCAATTTAACATGTACCAGTATGTTAAAATCGTATAGAAATTATAAAGAGAACTCTTCTTAAAAATTATGCATGTATATATACTGTACAATAACTTTGATATTCATAATATACATTTTTTAACTTTCAAATGTGTTATGTTATCATATATAGAAAAGAAGTATAGAATTTTCTTTATTTAAGAAAATATTTCTTGAATTCATTCTGCTATAGGTCATGAAAGATATTTTCTCAAAACAAGAAAATAGGTTTTGAGAAAAATTTTCTCGTTCTGAAAAATTTTCTTGCTAAGTAAATATTTCTTGCTATTCTCCCACTTTCTTAAAACAAGAATACTTTTCTTAAAATAAGTAAATATTTCTCATATTAAGTTTATTTTTCTTAAAAATAATTACTATATTTCTTGTTTTAAGATTATTTTTCTCCAGAATTTCTTGTTTTAAGAAAACATTTTTTCTTAAATCAAGAAAATATTTTCTTGATATGTTTTCTTAGCGAGAAATTATTTCTTGCTATTCTCCCATGAAAAATTTTCTCATTTCAAGATAAAAAATCTTGAAATGAGTTTTTTTTTTCTCAAAATAAGAAAGCGACTTTTTGCTGTGTATATGTTGATATATATATGCACATTTCAGCACAATTCACTCCCCATGCATGTAGCTATATTTTGGTTGTGACTTGATTTCTCTCGACTAGCTCCTCGAATCGGAAACGTAGAACGCGGAAAAGTCTCAAATCGTACAAATCATAGAGACTGTATGAAAGTAATGAAGCTATATCAATGATGTTCATTGTGTGACATTGTTTATTACAATAAAAAAACAAGAGTGTCGTACAATGAACATCATAATATTGCTCCGGGAAATTTAGCCTATAGGCTTTGATAATGCACAAAATATCATCTGGTCAACATAATTAGAGCTGTGGCCCGTGTGAAAAATATAACAAAACAGAAATTATGATCTATATATACCATTTAAGTTTTGTTGATATTAAACTACCATAAACCATCAAAGACGCCGTCTACAAATTCCGTGTTTTGTGAGATTGAGTTTAGCGCTATGTTTTAACCAAGTGCGTGCAGCCTTGCGCACAACTGGCCCAAGCCCAAGGGCAAGTTGCCAAGCTAACGTGTACAAACATTTAAGTTTGACCTTTCGGATATTTCGCTTATATATATTTCGCCATACTTCATCAGAAAACGAACATTAGAATTTATCTTGCTTGGACAACATATCAGCTGCTTGGGCAACAGGAAAATATTCACTAATTTTAATTTGGGCTCCTTTATTAGGAAATTACATTCCGGATATTAAATTGCAATTATGCATGGTCATTGCACCTTGAAGCCTGCCAGCTAGAGCGGCAAAATGAACAAATTTGAAATGGCGCCTATCAACTGTTTATGCGTATATGAGCGCGCGGGTAAAGATCTTTACCAGTAATTTCGCGAAGACTAAACCAAATATTTGCTGGATATTAACATCTATATGGAGAAGTCAAGGCGTTTTACCCCTGCATATAAAGGTTGAGACTATACGAAACATTAGCTATTATATAAGGCAAGTCATGACTGGGCATACTTTATTAGGCGCGCTTGCAATTATTTCCCTCCCAGCATTGAAATCAGGCTTATCGATGAAATCATCAACAGAATTCGTATTACGGTTGGCTCGATTTAAAGTTTTTTTTCCTTGAGTGTGTTTGCCTGGCTAAACTGTAGCTCTCTATTGATCCATGCATATATCGAAATATGACACGCATTCGAAGTAAGATTTCATATAGATGATCATGCAATTGTATATAACAAGACGTTCTCAATTGCATTTTATGTATATATGCTAACGCGAGTAAAATGGAGTCGGATATAAATGCGCACTGCAATATAATCCTTTAGATTACTTGCCATGGCCGGTGGAATCGAGTTGGGCCACGATCATCCAATCATTCCGAATAAACATGACATGAAAGGTTGCCAGACCTTTAAAATGGCTTGGCTGAGGTTAGAGTAGTTGTTAGCTTGGTGGTTACAATTTAATAGGATGCATTTACTCACATTGAAACAACAATTGTTTGCAAACTTTTCTGACATTTGTCAAAAAATATGTGGGTAGATGCTACCTTGAAATATATATAATTATATGATATAAAAAGTTTTCGCAAGACAAAATGGATTGATGCTTTGATGCATGCCTTAATCATCTGTCTGGGGAAATCTTGATTAGTTAATTTTATTGTAAGCAGGCGGCACAAATTGTGTCACAAGTAGATGTCTCGAAGATGTTAAGGATCGGGTGTTTCTTAAAATGGTGAGTATAAACTCCCCTGTGCATGCATTTGGCATTGTCGTTTCTATATGGGCGGCAGCATTGCTATAAGCTTTGCAGAAAAAAATTATTTGCACTCTTTGTGATTTAAAAACTCGGTTTCTATATGGGCCGTGTGCTATTGCTATATGCTTTAGTAAAAATAATGTGCACTTTTGTCTTGCTGCCGGGGTTGAGTATTAAGTTGCTTTGCAGGGCGGATTTTCGGACCTTTAGGATTGCGGATTGCCGCGGTCGTTTGAAATGAAGATTTCGAAAATTATCCCACTAATTTATGCGTTCTATTTCTTTAGGTCACTATTGTTAGGCTCATGCAGTTAGCTTAGGCATTTTTACACAGTTAACTATGTAGATGGTCGAATATATGGGGGGAATGAATATAGTGACCACCAATAATTTAGTTAGATCA